GTTCTATACTCTGTTGATGTTACTGGGGTTCCTTTCTATGTGAATGAATAAATTGCAGGTTTCTACCCTTCCTGGACCTATAGCAATTTAAGTGGGCCAAATCCAGCCATGTTGTGAGCGATGGCAATTAAGGAAGAATTTTTAAGGATCACTTGTTATATAAAAAAAAGAGGACTTTTCTGCCCCTTGATATTTAACACTTGGGTTTTGTCACCCTACCTGAATTAAATGCATCAGAGTTTTGCCCTGTGAAGATATCATCCTGCTCTCTCTTGTCTGAGAATAAGAATCCCCTACTCGATATTCACTCCTTACTGAGTAACAGACTGAGAGTGCATCTATTTACTACGAGTGCATCTTGGGAATACAAATGCTATCCATTTGGATTAAGTTTTAAGCACAGTATGGGCAATTTCATGGTAGGCCTAGAAAAAGGACTCTCCTAGGCTTTCCTCGATTTCCTTCTCCCTTTGGTCAGCAACTCCTTGAAGTCAGTACTCTCTGTTAGAATGCTCTACCTCCATTTCCAGACGCAGGTGAGCTCTCTGAGTCCTGAGGCAAACAGAGAGAGTCCTTCTCCCCACAGGCCCCAGATCTAGTCCTCTAAGGACAAAAGCCTTCCCCTAGGCCGCTAGACCCACCACCGCACCACTCGCTGTCCCCCTTTCAGAGACTCCTTCTCCTTCAGCATATACTCAACCTCATCCCCCTGTTCTCTTTAGCCTGGGTCCTTGCTAGAAGTCATTTTTTCTACAACTCTCTCTGTCCAATATCACCCACTCACCTGACTCAACAAGGGTCACACAAATTGCAAGCTTTAAAGGTATCTTTGCTGTATCTTGAGCATTGTTCTTTCATTTGCATCTGAATAAAACAATAAGTTATAAACATTTTATTGTGGTTTAAATCCCTGACTCCAGGTAGGCAAGTGCCTGCCTTATCCATGATTTTTATGATGAAAAATTTTCACTATGGATATTAATTAGTTGCTTTTAAATGTATGCAGTCAGAACAACAGAAGAGCCTTGAAATAAAGCAGAAGAGATTCCGTACTTCCTAATTACCTGGATACTAAAACACTTAAACATGTACCACTGACAAGGGTTATAAAATTTCTAATTCTGTCAATATTCAAAAAAAAATAAAATAAAATGGAGAGAAAACAATTATCTATCCTTGATGACTTCGTATCATTTGCCTGAAGGAAGAATCTAGGGTGTTTTATAGTCCCTCTGACTTAAGTCTTTGTTTTCATCATTACTTTAGAAGGTAATCTGATCCACTCTAATGGTCCCAGAGAACCACTTATCCTTTTCCAAGCATCCACTGTAAGACTGAACCTGGCTTTGGTACTCCTCTTTCTTTAAACTCACTCCAAAAATGGGCTTCAGAGAAAGACTTTCTAAAGTCAACACAAACTTCAGACTTCAGATCTCTCTTAACAGCTGATCACAGAACGCAGATGAAACTCCAAAACTCAGTGGTGCTCTCCAAGCTTTCAAAGCAAAACACTGAACAAAAATGCAGAGATAAGCACAGGCTTCAAAGAACACTGAAGCCCACTGGCTTACTTCCATGAAGGTCCCGAGTTCTAGAAATAATTGCTCTGTAAATGACTTTTTTCACTTTGTCAGGATCATCCACTTAAACAACCTTGGTATGTCACTGTCATTGCTTAGGTCTTTTTTTAAAAAAAAACGTCTTTCATTGACACAAGACAGAAAATTCAAGAATTCAGAGAAACACTCATAGGTTAAAAAAAAACTATATATACTATTTATACATATACAGAAGTATACTACCTTATGCCAAAATAAAGACCTTCCCATTACCCTTTTCCTGAATCTACCTCCTATTTCAAATTGTTTTTAAGGTGGTCTATACATACTCATTGTCTATACTCATTAACACCCACAGCACTTGGCCCCTGGAATGAAGTTCCCAACACCAGCATTGTAATTTTTCTCACTGAAAGCCTCTGACTTGATCCAATTCAATGGCCTCACCCTACTTCTCATCCCAGCCTGACCTCTTGATGGTATCTGATACTGACCACTTCCCTTTTTTATAAACTTTTTATTTTTTATTGGAGTATAGCTGATTAACAATGTTGTGAGAGTCTCAGGTGAACAGCAAAGGAACTCAGCCATACCTGTAAGATGTATCCATTCTCTGCCAAACTCCCCTCCCATCCAGGCTGCCAATAACATTGAGCAGAGTTCCAATAAAACAATACAGTAGGTCCTGGTTGGCTACACATTTTAAATATAGCATGACCACTTCCCTTTTTGAAGCTGTTCTTCAATGGGCTTTTCCTGCCCTTTAAAGGCTGGAATGTCCAGGGGTCCTTTGCATGGGCTGCCCTCATTATGCCCAGCTATTTCCCCTTTAGTAATCTCACCCATCCACACAATGTGACTCCACCACCCACGTCTTTCCTAAACTTCAGAGTCACATTGCCAACGGTCTGCTAGTTGTCGCCATTTCGATGCCCCCCTTTCAGATGTCCAAAACGAAGCCCAAGCTTCCTCTCATCCAATGGCTAGAGGATTCAAAAATCTGCAGCCATTTGCTACTCTTCCCTCTCTCTCACAGCTGCCACATGGAGCTCTGGTCCATAAATCTCACGAATTCTACCTCCCAAAGCGTACTCCACCTGGCCTCCTCTTCCAACCCCCACTGTCGGAGCGCTCATCCAGGCCCTTCATCTTGCTCATCTGCACCACTGTGTTCACTCCTCTCCTAACTAGTCCACTCTCTTTAGTTTATCCGCATCCAGGCCAATTTTCACACTGCTGCCAGAGCATTTTTCTAAAATGGTGAGACTGTGCCATTCCTACGATTTTAAAATCTCCAGTGGTTCCCCACAATCAACAGGGCAAAGACTAGCTGTCAGGATTTCAAACTCAGCTCCTAATCTCATTTCCTACCATGTGTCTACTTACCAACTCCCAGGAGCCTCAAGCTCCTTCTCAACTTCTCAAACAGTGCTCCTCGGACCTCCACGGCTGGTACACTCTGCTCCTCCTTCTCCACGAGGCGAGCAGCTGCCTACCCATTTCCCAACCTCCCAGGCAGAACTGGTCACAGGCTTGCAAGGCTGTCTGTGTGTGAGGCTCTGCTGCGACATGCACCACACAGTCTCACTCACCTACACTTGGCTCTCACTCCCGAGCCGTGGCTGAAACCTAATCAAGGTCAGGAAGTCCACTCTATTCATTTTTTCAGTCTACTCAGGAGCTGGTGACGGACAGGGAGGCCTGGCGTGCTGCAATTCGTGGGGTCGCAAAGAGGCGGACACGACTGAGAGACTGAACTGAACTGAAGGATTCTCTACGGCTCACATGATCTGCCTGTCTCCCTAGCCACCAGATCTCCTGACCACTGACGTGCAGTGACACCACTGCCATGCTGGTGGTGTGTCTACCACAAGGCGTGGGAAATCAGTCGTGTGTTCACTCCACTAACACTCATTAGACGTGGGGATCCACAGGTGAGTAAGGCTTGATTCCTTCCACTAAGGAATTCATATTCTAGTAGGGAAAACAAACACCTCAACAGCATTTATATAACAGGCTGGAGGAGACAAGTGATAGAGTGATTCCCAGGACATTCTGGAGTCAAGGGATCCGGAGGAGGACAAGAAACCCAGCATGGTGTGGAGCACTGGGTACGGGAGAAGGTCACTGGAGGAAGGGTCTGGGACTGATGGTGCTCAAAGTGAGTCTCAGAGAACATTAGAGAGGGAGGACGGGATAGGATGGACGGAGGCAGGAAAAGAGAAATACATCCGTTAATCACACCAACTGCTTTTTCACTGCCTAAGTACAAGTAGTAGAAGTCATGAGACAGTCCTTGTGAATAAATCCATACATTTAACCATGAAAATAAACAACAGTCCTTGTGAATATATCCATACATTTAACCATGAAAATAAACAACAGAAGTGGCATTTTCCTAGGACACGCCTCACTTTTTCTCTGTCGCTCTCTCTCATACCCACTGACACATGAAAAACTTAATACACAAAATGAAAAAGAGACGTAAGAACCGTCATGGCAATACTGACATGTTTAGAGCCCATGTTTCTCACTTCATGCTTCCTCTAACAGTTTCTTCTTTTCTGAGCTCTCCACGCCAAAGTTTCTCTCACTTCCTTCACTCCTGATGGCTTTCTCCCCCTCCCCTGCCCCTCTCAGCTCTTCCTATGCCCACCTTCCATGAACAATGCAGAACTAGCATACATCTTTTAATGCTGTCCTATTTATTCAGAGACGATGTTACCATGAGCGGCCAGATCTTTTTGTGCTAGAAGTATTTATCAGCAGCAGTTCTTTTTTTCTTTTTCCACAGTATAAAGTCTATCCTTTAATTTAGACCCATAGTTACTACTTATACACTAATTTAGTTTCTCTAAGTCTTCAGAAGACTCAAAAGTTATTCTTAAAAAATAGCCCTATTAGAAAAAAAAATCAATATAATAATCATCACACCAGGTAGTAGAGAAAACTCAGATTCCATTTCTGGCTATGTCAGTAGTCTACTACATAATTCCTTGGTCCATCTGATCTCAAGTCCTTATAGAAATCTTAAACTCTTTCACATAAAGTGATTTTTAAAATATTTTCATGTTTTTTGTTCCACCTTATTAACAATTATTTTACTAACTTGAAAACTGATTAAATACATATACAGATACATAACATAAAAGAATACAAAATGACCTGTCAATTTAGTATTTCTCTTTGTCAGCAGCTATGTTAATCAGATTTACTAATCATCTCCAAAAGTTCAATGAACAAAACCAATGAGTAACAGAGTTGTACTTCAAGCTGAGAGATAAGGAAGAGGGAAGACAGGCGACCCCTTGCTTGGGTCTCATCTTGAAGTCACACTAACTGGGGGGGGTAAAGGAAGGGAGGAGGGGAGAAAGGACAGATAAGAACAGTCAAACAGTATGAGAAGTAAAAAAAAATCAAAAGTAAGCTGACTTCACTCACAGTTAAAGAGTTCCTCAAAACAAGTGAAGGAAAGTCATACTGCATCCCTCCATCCAAGAACTGAGCAGAAGTTCCACTCCAGGAAGGCTTGGAGGTGCTAAAAGGAGGCAAGAAGGATGTAAGATCTCAGAATCTAAGTGATGAAAGGCATGCCAGCCACTCATCCTCCCACTTTAGGCACATTTTTTTAAAAAGTTAATCATCGAATTAAATGTTATAATCCAATTTCCAAAATTGTTCTACTCCACTTAAAGTGCTGTCACCTCTAATAATCTTACAGGCAGATGCATTCATTTCAAACATCGCTCTTTTCAGATTCCTTGATATCTGAAATTCTCGATCACTTCACCTTTTTTGTTCTTATCAGGAACACAGCCAGATCTTTCTCTAATGCTGCAGATCCAGCTCCTCTTCTCAGTTCAGTTCAGTCGCTCAGTCGGGTCTGACTCTCTTCGACCCCATGGACCGCAGCATGCCAGGCTTCCCTATCCATTACCAACTCCCGGAGCCTACTCAAACTCATGTCCATTGCATTGGTGACGCCATCCAACCATCTCATCCTCTGTCGTCCCCTTCTCCTCCCGCCTTCAATCTTTCCCAACATCAGGGTCTTTTCCAATGAGTTGGTTCTTCGCATCAGGTGGCCAAAGTATTGGAGTTTCAGCTTCAGCATCAGTCCTTCCAAAGAGTATTCAGGACTTTTTTCCTTTAGGATGGACTGGTTGGATCTCCTTGCAGTCCAAGGGACTCTCAAGAGTCTTCTCCGACACCACAGTTCAAAAGCATCAATTCTTTTGGAACTCAGCTTTCTTTATAGTCCAACTCTCACATCCATACATGACTACTAAAAAAATCCTAGCTTTGACTAGATAGACTTTTGTTGGTAAAGTAATGTCTCTCCTTTTTAAAATGCTGTCTAGGTTGGTCATAGCTTTTCTTCCAAGGAGCAAGTGCCTTTTAATTTCATGACCACAGTTACCATCTGCAGTGATTTGGGGGCCCCCCAAAAAACAAAGTCTGTCACTGTTTCCATTGTTTCCCCATCTATTTGCCATGAAGTGATGGGATCAGATGCCATGATCTTACTTTTCCAAATGTTGAGGTTTAAGCCAACTTTTTCACTCCCTTCTAACCAGACTCCAGACCATGGTTTCCCCCAGAGACTTGGTCTTCAGTTCTCTGGTCTGCCTCTCTGTACACGCATCCCTTGAAGAGTGTAACCCTCATTTCACATGAGGGTTAAACTTCACATTGTTTCCCTCTTTGGCTAGACATTTCAACATGAGACCTGGTTCATGTTTCAAGGGCTCAGGAATTTCCCCTTCAATGTTTAAAACCAGACAAGCACCTTTATCCCCTCAAAATTGTTTTCTCTTTCCAGTTACTACATGCCTGATCATTCTGCAGGTCAGAAAATCTTGAAACCACTTTTTACTCACATCTTCCTCTCTTTCTGCAGTACCCCTGTTCTCTCTCATCTCCCCCAACTGACTCCACTATTAACCCTACTGCTGGATTATTGCACTAAGGTCAATCTATTTGTCCCTTTCTTCAATTATTCTTTGCCACTGCTACCAGATTAATCTGCTAGATACCATGGTATTCTTCATTTCAAAATCATACACCCCTCCTTTTCTTCAGAACACAAATAGTGGTTTTAAACGTCCCCAGATTCTTTGACACCCCTCTCCTTAAAAGGTGGAACCTAATGCCTGCCTCCTCCCCGCCTTGAGTGTGGGCTGAATCCATTGGCTTGCTTCTAAGGAATAGAACTCTCGCAAGAGTTTCCAAATCCCTGACCCACGAACCACAGAAATTGTTAAGAGACCGTAAAATGCTTGTTTAGTTCTAAGCCACTAAATTCAGGGGTAATTTGTTACATGGCAATAGATTACTAATTCAGAAGGTCTTTCTACTGCCCAGTGGATCAAATCCAAACTCTGTGGGACACAAGGTCTTCCCCAAACTGTTCCTACTTTATCTTCAAGAACAAACACCTACTTCAGTCTAAAGGCCAGTTATTTCATTGACCTCATGTAACATTGTAAAATTCCGTTTCTTTAACTTACGCTATTCTCACATGAAATGTCCTTTGAGTCTCCCTACTAACCTAAATTCAACACTTTTTTGGGGCTCAGTTCTAAGTCTACCTACCAAAGAAATTCTTCTATTTTGTAATGTATATAAATAAACACATATTTGATTTCCAAAACTATCTTTAAGTTATTTAAGGGAGAAATCATGACTTTGCTATCTTCACATTCCCCATGTTAATGGAAACATACTTTTTTGTTTAGAACTAACTTTTATGACCCTTCCTTCAAAAAGAAAGCTTTGAATATCTTTTAAGAGAGGACATATACAATGAAGTTTACTTTGTTTAAAAAGTGTCAAACAGTTTGAGAGGATAATTTGGTACTATACACCACCAAAAAACCACATGATCTATGAATAAGCAATTCCATTTTCAAGAATCTATTTTATAGATATAAATACAAGTAAGCAAAAATATAGGTATAAAGATATCCTCCACAGCATTGTTTATAGTAGGGAAAACTCAGAAGCAACATAAAATATACCAATACAGGAAAAATTAAACTAGACTACCAAAGGTCCATTTTAGAAAATGAAACAGGTCTATGTGTTCTGACCTGTTCTGACTGCAATGATATAATACGTAAAAAAAAAGTTTCACCAAGAAAATAAAATATTTAAGAACAAATTTAATAACATGTATAAAATCCTTCTGAGGAAAACTTTATATAGCATTCCTAAAAAGCTACAAATGAAGAACTTAACAAACAGAAAGACATTTCTTATTCTGGAACAGAACAAGCCAACATCATAAAAATGCCAATTTGTTATAAGTCAATTTATCAATGTAATACAATTCCCATAAATATACCAATAATTCTTTTCAATGAAACTGAAAAATTGATACAGAGCTTTGTATTAAAAATACATGTGCAAGAACAGCCAGGAAAACATCAAATGGTAGAGGGGAGGACTAGGCCTCCCAAACATTAAATTATGCTATAAAGCCTCTTAAGTGAAAAGTGTGCTACTGGCCCATAAGCAGGCAGATAAATCAGCGGGGTAGTACAGAAAGTTCAAAAACAGACAGAATGTTAGTACTGCTTATGATAAAAGAGGGAGTCTAAAAATCACTAGGGCAAAAACTGATTTTTTAATAAATGGTTAAAGCAATTGATTAGTCATTTAGAAAAAGATAAAATTCATACCATAAAGAACAGACTCAACAAATCAGAGATCTAAATGTAAAACAATGAAGCCAATATAAGTACGAGAGGGAAAAATGGCAAATTCATCTCTAAATTTGGTACAAGGAAGGACACACTAACTATGAGTCAAAATCAGGAAGAATAAAAGACTGACAATTTGATTACATAAAAATGTTTAACAATTTTTTCTGCATGGCAAAAAAAATCATTAACCAAAGATAAAAGATAAAACGGGAGAAAATATTTGCATTCATATTACAGACAAAGGGCTAACATCCATAATACATAAAGAAGACTTAAAATTGAGGAAATAAAGACAACTAACTTGACAGAAAAACGGGCAAAGGACATGATATACAAGTGTATGCATGCGTGCTCAGTCACATCTGACTCTTTGCAACCTCATGGACTGTAGCCCGCCAGGCTCCTCTGTCTATGCGATTATCCTGGCATCAATACTGGAGTGAGATGCTCCAGGGGATCTTCCTGATCCAGGGATCGAATCTGTGCCTCCTGCATTGGTAGGTGAATTCTTTACCACTGAGCCACCTGGAAAGTCCCATGAATACACACATACACACACACACACATATGCAGACACACACACAAAGTATACACATATGAAAAGATGTTCAATTTCATTTGTGAAAGAAATACAAATTGAAATTACACTGAGATGCTATTTCTGATCTATCTGATTGGCAAAAATGAAACAGTATGAAAAGTCACAGTTTGGCCAGGATATAGAGAACTAGGCACCCTCATATGCTCCCCGGAGGAATGGCCACTTCCAGGGCTGAGGCAGAGACAGCACAGGAGGGCCACCGTGTGCTAGAAAGTGAGGACGCGTCAGCGAATGGCGCAGATGTGCCGAAATTACACAGCAATCAGCTTCAGGAGGCACCTATTGGCCAAATCTAAGACAATTAGAGCTTCAAAATAAGTACAGATAAGAATAAAGTAAGAATTCATTCGTCTAACCTGATATTTTTTTTCAGTGAGAGATAAGGGAATGCTTTGTGGAAGAAAGCCAGTGAATAAATGAAGAGGGAATGATGAAATTTTAAATCTCCATTGGGCAACCATCATAAGACTAACTGATTCAGTCAAGAATCATCCATGGATTCCAAAGCCTATAAATCTGAGGCGCAATAGTTTATTAATGAAAAACATCACTCCACAAGATAGTTACTGTTTGAAAAGAGGGAGAGAGTAACACTGGCCAAACCTGGCAGATAGGGCCTTAACCAAAGGCTCAAGGTCAACACGGCCAGAAGCGAGACAAGCAGACATTGTGTGCTTCGGAAAACGATGTACTGAGAAGAACACAGTGTCCCCTGCGCAGCATTGCTGCCCAAAGTGCAAAACCTGAACCTCAACAGGAGGCGACTTCAAGCAAACCAAAACTGAAGGATATGCGAGTAATAGCCGACTTACTCCTCCTAACTGTCAACACCATGAAACACAAAGATGGAAAAACTGTTTCAGCTGAAAGGCGACCAGATGCAACGTATGGCCCAGCACTTTCCTACTATAAAGACATTTTGGGAAAAACTGATGGAATCCAAGATCTGTACCTAGATAATAATATTGGATCACTGGTAATTTTCTAATTTTGAAAAAGAATAAACAAGGAGAACGAAGATCTGACTGAGAATGCATAACCTGCACCTAATGATAAGGAAACTTCAGACAAATACAGAAGAAGGAATTTAAAAACTGTCAATCTGACAAAAGACGAACTGTAGAAACACTCCAGGAGAAAGGACAGTAAACAGATACAACAAGTAAATGTGACATATAACCTTAGACTGGATCTTATACCACAGGGGAAAATGTTATAAAGGACATTAGG